CTCTCTCCCGCTACTTCCTCTCCTTTCCCTGTAAGCATCCACGCTCCAACCCGACCTCCTCATCTTCTGACCGAAACCCCCTCTGCTCCGACCTTCCACATCCCGACCGAAACCCCTGGCACCACTCTCCACGCTCCAAACTCGACACGCCACCTCGTCTGCCCTCTCCGAACCTCACTAAGCCGAAAGGCCCAAGGCGGATTCCACCTTCTCCTATATCCCCGCAGCCTCTTTCTCCTCCACCCGACGCCCCTTGCTGCTTTCGGTCTTAGAGGATGAGAGAGAGAGAGAGAGAGAGAGAGAGAGCACTTACCCTACCCATACCTCCAAGCTCCGGCCGAACCTCCCATGCGACGTCCTCACCATCTTCCCCATCCCGGATCCGACTTAGCAAGCAAATCTTTGCACCGATCCAACCCCATACCCGATTCCCTCTTGCTCTGCTCCAACCAGCAATTAGATATAAGTTTAGTATTTCTTTATTATTATACTTAGTTTATTTTATTGCTAATCATGTAATTAGTTATTATATTAATATATATTATATATATATATATTAATACATAAAACATGATAATTTTTATATTTAACTATATTAATTTGCATTATAGTAATTAATTTTAATTAATTAGTTAATTATAATTTATTTATTTTTAACTTATAATTAATTAAAAATAATTTTCTAATTATAAGATTGATCATATTAATTATTGTTTTTAGTTAATTATTGTTAATGATATTAATTATGATTAATTCAATTTAAATATTAATTAATTTAAGGTTTTTTTAATATATATATATATATCCTATAATATATATATATATATAATAACGATTCTTTCTCGACGCTCTGCAACGAACCGGCAAACCCCGAGGCGCTCACCGATAGCGTTTGGGTGGGAAACCATGTGCGATGCTCGCGACGATTCAAGAATCCCTCTTCAAGCTATGCAACGAGCCGGCAAACCCCCGAGGCCGCTCAAGTGCGTTTAGGGTGGGAAACCGGTGCGACCGCTTGCGGCGAAGGAGATAAAAAAATGTGTTTTTTTATTTTTATTAAGTACCCCGAACGCCCACCGTGGTGTAGAGGGGGGAATTTCATGTGTTCTTTATAACACCTGTTCTTCTTATGATAACAAACAAAAAACCTTAAATCTCACGTAGCAGCGGGGATAAAAAAAATTTCATTTGCGACCGCTGTGTCTTTTTGACACCTTACCTTAAGCCGCCTCATCGTAGCGTCGAGGGAGGATTGCCTCTTTGGTTTTTCTCCTAAACGGGGGGAGACGCCGCGAGGGCTTGCCGAAATTTGGATTGAAATCTAAGAACTTTTGAACACTATGTTTGGACACTTAAACTTGTACTTCAAATTGATACTTGCATTTGTGGACCTAGACTTGAAGCTTAAGTTGGACCAAAATCATATTAATTTTACTTTTAACCTAAACTAGCAACTTAAGTGAATCATGAAATGGCTTGAATTTCAAGTTGAATTTGAACAAAGGACTTCGAGCTTAAAGAAGCTAAGTTGCAAGAACCGAGCATTTGACTTGAAGGTAAAAATTTTGGACTTGAATTTCAAACATATAAGCATGAACTATATTTGAACTCAAAAGGAGAATTGTGGCAATGAATTTTGAACTGAACTCAAATACCAAGAGCTTGAACCGAAAAAGACTACAAGGACACAAATTAGAGCTTGATTTGAACAGTCATGCAGCACTTGAACTCAAGCAAAATAAACTCAAACTCATACAAAAAAAATATATTACTTGAGTCTTATAGAAGGAAACTTCTCATCTCTATCACCAAAAAATGATCCAACTCAAGAAGATACATCAAAGAAAAAGATCAAACTCAAATGAACTACAGGAGCATGGGATTGAATGTGATTATGGTGGCTTGAACATTCAATCAAATCAAATCTTAAATGGGGAATGAACACACTCATATATAAGCAAATATTGAAGTGTCCCTACAATCTACTAGAGGCCAAGATGCCTTTATCTCAGTCTCCTACAAGCAAGAGATTGTTACTAAATAAAGTTCCAAACATAATTTACTTCGAAGAATCAACCTTGAAGCAACGAGCACAAGATCTAGATGGAGATGTCAAAAGTAGTGATCATTCAAATATATGCAAAAGAACATCTTATTGAACCATATAAAGATGAGGAAGGTTGATTGTGTATATTAAACTATGAGTAAATATACATTGTCCTCTTGCAAATAAAAGTAGATTCACAAGCATCACCACGGATATTCCTAAATCATCATGTATTGTTGTAAGTATATAATTGGATCTTTAAGTTAAAAAAAAGAGTCATGGGAGAAAGAACTTGATCTTCATGCAAGAAAGTATGGTAGCTCTTATCACATCCGTGTGCGAACACTGACGAAAGATCATAGATGTTAGAAGAAATTATAGTGTGCCCACAAGTGACTGTAGAAGGTCTATCATGTACACAGTAATTCATCTACAAGCATCCACAATGAAGGCAGGAGATTAGTTAGTGCACTATGATCCGCCTATAAAAATCAACAAATAATGCACGACAGTCTACCTGTACGAAGCAGCGAACAATTCTATCCAGAAGCTGCTATGCCACGCCACCGGATCTGCAACATTCGTACAAGCAGACAAAAGGCATCTATTCCAAGAATATCCCCGCACATGCACCTATAACTTAGTATAGCACATAGGTACACTAATGGGTATATATATCTTCTTAACCCGCTCATGGGCCCGACGGAGCGTGTTATTGTACACACGTGACGTTCTAGGTGCTGGCGGTTGACAAGTGAATTCTAGTTCGAACCCGATCCTCCTATACGGTCAATAGGAGGTCGACAAGGTTCGAACTCTCAAAACAAATATACAGATAGGCTACGACCGATATATTGTCTTAATAATTCATATTAGGCTTTCAAAGGCCTATAACAATGAGGAGTTCACTATCAAAGGGCATGAAAGCCTACGAAACCCGATCCTCTGTCGACAGCCCGATAGAGAGAGTTGACAAGGATCAATCCATAAAAAGAAATGACTCCCAAACACCCCGATGAAGGCCGTGTTGAACGATGATCTCAACCGGAGGGGTTAATTTCAGGCATTTTCAAATATCTCCAAAAGTCCACTCAAAATCTAAAAATCATTCCAAATTTCAAGATATTTAAAATTGAAATTAAACCATCAATCACTCAAAGCAAAATTCATCCACCCTCCGCAACAGTTTGTTGGGGTGGACAAATTAAAATTTACTTTAGCTCACATAGAGCTAATGCCTAGTCGAAAATATCATTAGGATCCATTCTCAAACAATCTCTTGCCAGTAAGGACGTGGTACGTGTCCTCTAACCGGCGGTTGACCGCCAAATGGCCACCGCAGGATAAACGGTTACGACGACCCGGGGCCCTCTGAACCGAGTGGTTTTGCCGTCAAATGGCACCACAGATAGCGGTTATGGCCAGAGCCAATACCCTCCTTAATGGCGTTAAATCCTTGAGATATGAATCAATAGGATATGATCGATAGGGCACAAAGCCCTCTGTAAGCTAAGGTGGATTCAAATTTGTTCCCTTAGACAAACATTCAACCCCGGTCTATAAGGTCCCCTTGGACGAAGCAACCCATGGCTGCCGACAAGGATCCTTCTGTCAGGTTGGGTCGACTACCTCCTCTGACTAAGTAGACCAGGGACCACGATGGCCCGGGACGACGGAACCATGGGATCTTGATCGGGTCTATCATCCATTCCCCCGCCATCCGCTTTAAGTGCAAGATGGTGCAATTTTCATTTTAAAATATCCAAACCTTTCAAATTTCAAATTTCCAAATCCAATTTCTATCAATATCTCAAACCATATGCTGCTACTATATGCCAGATGCACGTATTTCTATACGTATCTGATCGACGACTAGCCTTAATCGAAAGTTCTCTCCCGTGATCGGGAGGGGTAATTAACTATAGGGGCTTGCGCCTATAGGAAACCAGAACTCAGATCATAAAGTCCTCACCAAATGAGGGCGAAATCTCTGGGTAGTGTCTTATCTACAAACCCATCTGCCTTCCAAAATTTACCTCGGAACTTAGTTCGTTAAAACTCTCTCGCCGAATAAGAAAAACGAGTGGAGGCCGAGGCCGAATTTTCGGAGCCCACACTAAAAAAACTTGCAGAACAAACATTATAGAAGTTGGACTGCCAAAAATGTATTGAATTCCTTGAAATTTTTGTTATCAAGTATTAAAATGGACCAAACATATATTAAAACATGGCCATTGATCTGTGCAGCTAAAATAGGTTACTACGGCATAAGATGACCAAACATAACAAAATCACCTGAAATCGCAAACAGATTTGAAGAAAAGACTATGAATGGATCCCTTGTAACCCCAAAAACTGCTGGTATTGAATCGACCTGAAAAAATCAAATTTATCCAAATCCGCTTAATTGATCACAAGAAATCAGCAAGATATAAAGACAAAAGATTTCAAGAACGTACAGCGAAGGCAATATCACTAAGCTCAATGACTGCGACAGTAAGAAGTAGGGGTGTAGCCTATAAATAGGTCTATAATCAGTTTCTTGAAATAAGTAACAGAATTGTAAATTGTAATATATCAATCTAGCCAGCTACAAAGGAGCTAAGTACCAAGTATTGCAATTTAATCGAACATAATGGCAAGAAAATAATAACTAAAATCCATATTCCAAAGCATAATCTCCGGGACATACCTTCCAAACACCATCTTCAAAGGTTATGAATCGATCACCATCATAATGAGCTATAACATAAACAGAATAGAAGTTAAAAGTTTAAAAGGGTCATAAAACAAGAACATAAAATGAAAATGCAACCCATGGATATATCCATATTATTCAGTTGTTAAAAACATGGATAAATTTTAACTGCACATACAAGAAAGTAGGCATGCTTATGAGCATAAAAGTTCTTAACCTCATTATTCATGCTTTTAAGAGCATAAAACGAGACTAGTACACGTACAATACCATCCAAGTTGGAAGTAAAACAATTGTGAATGGTAGCTCATTAACTTATATAAAAGCCAACACCATGACAATGTCAGTTCACTCAGGTGTTGGTTGGAGTGAGATGTACTAAAATAGAACAAAATAAGTTAAGTTTTAAAGGAATCAACAAAAAAATGCTTGATTTATACTATTTTGAAATGATTGTTTTGGAAGATGAGACATTTTTTTAAGTGACAAATTATAACAGCACAAGTAAATTTTAGAAGATAAGGGGATTATTCTTATCAAACCAAAACTTAATATACTTCATGCAATTTAGTAGGAATGAAATGAATTTTTTTCAACTACAAACACAGATATCAAAATGTGATAAATTTAAGAATTTTCAATCTTCTATATAGAGAATGTAATATAGATAAAGATATAATTTTTTTAACTACAATATAATTAAAATAGTGAGATGCCTATACAAACTAAAGAATATCTTAAAAATGTAAAAGAGGCAAATTTTATAAAACTGCAGTAAGATTGCTTGTGTTATATGGATCTTAAAGTGGGGCAAAAAAGAAGCCCTTAACAAGCATGTTGAGAATGTATAAATGACAACTTAACAAAAATGAGAGGTAAAATTATAATTGATAAAATGAGAAACAATTATATAAGAGATATTATAAGAACAATACCCATTGAGGATAACATGATGGAAAATATTTTTGAGTTCAGAGCATGTACAATAGAGGGTAAAATATGCACTAGTAATACCGTGAGAGAGCATAAATGTGAAAGGCATGTTAAGAAAAGTGAGAGACCTAAGTAACAATAATAAAAGTTGTGCAAGGAAGATTTTTTTTATCTATTCATGTAGCTCTCACAAGAAAAAAATGAAAAAAAAAAGATTGATAAAGCTAGTCCCAAACCGTTAGGATGAGATCAATCATGATGAAACAAATAGATTTAATGTTTAAGGAAAGACTGGTAAAATATATTGATATGGCTGCAGTGAAATACCAGTAACAGGGATAAACTTCTGGCATGTTCTGACAATAAAGTTATCAGCAAGGTCAGTATCTTCCTCTTCAGCGAAAAACAACTGTTTGAATTAATGAAATGAAAAATAAATGTACTACATTGCATCAAAAACTGTTCTAAAGTCACTAAATGTTAATTGTGAAATGTAACTAGCATAGACAATCTAGGTACACACTCATGTTTTTAATTATATATTAGAAAATAAGCATGATTAAGATATTAGGAAACCTCTAAAAATAAAAATTAGGAAACCAATGCGGCAATGCATAATATTTCATCAAAGCAAAACAAAAAACCAACCTAATTTTAAGGAACATTATAGTGGAATAAATACATTCACAATCATATGGATAGCTTAAAAGTACGAAATACTATGATATGGAGCGCATTAGATTAATGATAGCAATTCCAAGAACATGAAATGAGACCTTTTATGATTATCAAATGGATGGACATTAATAGGCTTCCATTCTGCATACAGCTTAATTCCATTAATAAAATTTAAGAAGAAAGATCACCTTATATGATGAGAACAGAAGAATCAAGGCCAGCAGTAAATTTACGCTCTCAAATCTCTACAGTATAAGGTCCATTAGTACAGTATAGCATGACAAAAGCAACTTTGAAGTTAGCAGAAGAATCCAAACGGAGATATTTTTAATTATGAAGGAACCTGAATGGTGGCAATTCCTAGCAGGATAATTATAGCACGAAATATTATTGCGCCAGCTATGCCATATGAAAGCACCCGGCTCTGGATGCAAGTAGACAATAGGAATTGATAAGTTATTGTCAGGTGATACCAGCAAAATAGGCAAGAACGGTATCCATCATACCTGATACTCTATTGGTACTTTAAAGTAGTTGAAAATTAAAATAAAAACAAAGAGATTGTCCACTGATAAACTCTGTTCCAATATGTAGCTGTAAGGAATGATACTACAATTAGATTTAAGTTGTCATTACAAAAGCATTGCAATAATAAAGAAGAATAAAAGATGAAATACTTTCTTCAGTTAAAACTATGATGCCAAACAAGTCCCAGGGCTAGTGTAAAAAACAGCACCAATCCAAGGAGTTAACACCACCACATTACTGTAACATACAAGTGGAAGAGCAAAACTAATTGAAAAAATTATAAACAAGTAGACCAACAAGATTAAAGGCCGAGTTTCTAGAAAAAGAATCTCAATTACTCATGGAATAAATCAAGTCAATTGTTCATGCACTTGATTCACATGAAGCCTGTAATTTATTTGGGGAAATTGAAAGAAAGGATACCATTGGGGTGAAAGGAAAATGAAAAATGGAAATCAGGACATGCTATGTAGACAGAGAGATTGTTCTATCGCAATGGAAATCAGGACATGAATGAAGAATGGAAATAAATGATAAAAATACTTGATTTTAAATTGTTCATGACATGAATGAAGAAATTGTTCATGCACTAGATTCACATCGCAATGGAAATCAGGACATGAACAATCTGTCATGCCTCCTCTTTACCACATATCGCAATAAGGCCCAAATGGGGAAAAAGGGCAGAGAGAACCAAGTTGAAAGAAAAGTTTACAATTAAGGCTGAAACAATATACAAAAGACAAAGGATGTTTTTAAGGCGAAGAAAATAAGCTACTTGAAGCTTCATAACAAAAAAGATTGGAGAGTGGTAAAGACAAGCCAGAATAAAAAAACCTACATGAAGTTGTTAGGTAACAAATGACATAAAAGACTACATGTTGCATAGCATGTCCTGACTTGATATCACATTTAAGAACCATATATCACCAAAAGGAAAAAATGAATGTTAAAGAGGATTAGCAAGAACCCAAGAACCAAGATCATACCCTGCAAAATACTCTGATGCCTTGTCATGTCCATCCTTTAACCCTAAAGCAATACCAAATGTAACAGCTGCTAGCACCTGCAAAAAAGAATAAATATCATTAGAAGAAAATTTTGACTTTTGACCATGAGAATGAGATGAATCAACAAGCTAGTTTAACCATAAAGAATGATAACTTGGATAATAAAAATTAAAGAGGACATAAAACTTACACAAAAAGTGACAGTTCTAATGGATGATTGTCGATTGATAGTTCCATTTTGACAATCTAAAGAAGTATCTGATGCAGCATTTTTAATATTGCCATCTTCATCACATGATTGATGACCACCTATCTGCAAATCTTCAGCAGATCCATTGGACCATCAGATTATTTTCAAACAGGGTAAGCAACCTGCAGCTGTGACATGTTTTGGTGATGGTTCTTAACAATTTGAATCAATAGCAAGCATACAGATTAAGTGGAAAATAAAGAATTAGAAAATTGTTTAAGCTACTTAAAATATAGATAGATACAATATATATTATATAAGGAATATATAGCTAGCACAGTAGAGCCAACTGCACAATAAAAGCTCCTAGCAGTTCACGGTTTAATCTAAGAAAGCTGGACAATGATATTTAGTGTAGAACTAATGTGACATGTTGATGATCCAAAACACCTTTCATATCTTATAAAGTAGAGTTCTTAGGAGTAGCATTTCTTTTTTCAACTTAAACATATATATAATCATAAATATGTAACTTATCAACGTGATCTCCATAAAGCATCTCCCATGGCCATGAATTTCTAATCAATAAAATGACTACTCGCACATTCAATGACTAGAGTCAAATGAGGGTAGAAACTTCAATGCACTTTTTCCTGAAAGAAAACAATTGTTTCCTTACGTAGTGAATCATATATGGCTAATCAAACTGTTCATAACACTAAACTAAATGTCCAACTACAAATAGAACTTCTAGATGAACTCCTATAAGAAGCCTTTGTTTTAAGAAAATTTTACTTCATTCAAACATAAAAGAAGAAGAGGATAAATAATTACAAAGAATTACCCTACATAGTATCCAATATTTAAAGAGCAAGGAAAGATAAAAAGTAACGGTCCATGAAATGTAAAAACAATAGTTTCGCAAAAACTTGAGGTTATCCAACACATCTCTTGTTTGGACAACCACCAATGAATTTGCAAGGAAATTCAGTGTAGATAGGATACAAATTTGCAAATAAATTAAGTATAGTTAGGAAGATATGCATGAATGTAAAAATTCATAACAGCAGTTGCTTTAAAACAGAGGCGGCCATGTACAATCATTGTAAAAAAGAACTAAATTTCTAATTTGTTCTTATACAGAAACAAGGTTGGAATTGTAACCTAATTGAGAAATGTAACAGGGAAAGAAATATGCATTTCCTAGTTCATCATCATTTCTTCATTAGCCTTATTCCAACTATTTGAAGTCAATTTCATGAATCTTCATACTCCATTCAATCAATGTTCATTATTACAGGAGTTCTTAAACCTATTTTATACAATCTTTAAGATATATTCTATTGAATCTACCTTTGGCCTACAATCCTTACTTCCTAAGTATTTTATATTAATACCATCCACCCATCTTATAGGTGCATTTTCAATAGTTCAAATAACTGAACGACGTAAGTGAACTTTCCACTATATTTATCTTCAATAGATGATACTTCCATTGACCATTTCTAGTCTTTCCCACAAATTCATTTCCTTATTCACCATGTTAAAAAGTGAATTTCGGTCAGTCTCTCGTAAGGTAAATTTTGAAGATTAAGAAGTCCCTATGTTCCACGTAAACACTTCAAAATGGTTTCAATCGTTTGGTGAAGTACACAACTTGCAAAAAAATCCAAACTTATAGCACATGCATATAACCACATTTAGGCACTACCATGTGTATAGAATAAATAACATAAACTCCAACAAAAAAGCTAAGCTAATCAATAACTTATTCCCTGTATACTAATTATAATACATAATGCCAAATTGGAACTAAATATATAAGAAAGAACCACTAGAATACTAACATTGAATATAATGACGTCATAATTCACCTAACCTTCGAGTTTGAAGTCCTCCTGGCTCGTCTCCTTGAAGCATTGCATCCGGTTCGAGCAAATGTGTTGACAACATCTTCCGCCTGACAATATCGAAAGAAAATAGATTACTGAACAGAATAAATTTGAGCTTCGATTGATGTGTTCAAAATTAGGGCACCAAAGAAACTTGGAGGCGAGCGTACCGTCCAAGGTGGAAGAGAAGCCGGCACGGCGCATAGAAGAATAAGCGAACTGAATTGATGACGACGAGGAAGTTCGAGCCCTAGAATTCCCCGACTCAAATCTCAGAGGAATTTGAACGCTCGAGCGGTGGATTAAAGAGGCAAAAGCCATCTGTGGAACAACCAACGCTGACTCGAGGAGAGAGACAGAGTAAGAAGGAATGGTAGCAGGTCGTGCGATATTATTATCCTGGATATTATTTTATTTATTTTTCTAAACAGTTATTTGGCCACAATAAATTTAATTTAATTTGAAGAATTCATTAGATAAATTTTTTTCAACGTTAAAAAAAAACTTTAATTATTTTTTATTTGGTGTGTATATGAGATTTTTTTTTAGTTAGTTGAAGTGAAGGGGCGTTGGTTATACATATACAATTATTATTATTAAATATATTATAAGTTGATTTATGCACCAATGTGATCAGGCACCAACGACTAAGACGATCAATGATCTATTTTGCTAGGTGATGTTAACATAGTGTTGGTAGTTGTTAGTGGCCACAACAACCATGATAGTAGTGGAGGTGGTGGTGGATGACTGTTGTGATGGCAATTCACAATAAAAGCAACTAGCGATAGCAAGCTTCGAATCAAAGGCTTTTTGGTTAATAATGGAAGCTCCCAACCAAGACATCAGAGTAAAATGCATTCGATGTCAATCGTTAATATGAAATTAACGCAATTACACGACCATTATTACATGCAACATAATTGCAAAAACATTATTACATGCAAAACTAACATATGGTTGTGTTGTTATTGATGAGATTTTCTGATTAGTAAACATTGACAAAATTGTTAAATCCTAACCATCCCTTCGCATCATGATCTCACTGTTAGGATGAGAATCCTTGGGAGGCTCACCTAATAAATCCCAGCTGTCCCTTAGCATTTTGATCCAACATCTAGGATGGGAATATGTGGGAGGCTCACCTGAATTACACCAATCTCCTTCCATATCTAATTGGCAGATTTATGAAGGATTATATTAGAGAAATTTTGCATGATTTTATAATTATTTATTTTTTATTAAGATATATTGTATAGATCTGTAAATAGAGATATTTTTTTGCAATAAAATAAACTATTTTCCCTCTCCAATTCTCTAAATTTAACATTGTATAAGAGCAAGACATTCGATTCTTCTTAAAAAACGAGAGCGTGAGAGAGGAAGAGCTAGTTCTTGCGCTCTGTTCCTGCTTGCGTGCATCCAGGGCAGTCGAACAAGTGAGAGGGATACCCCTTTGCGGTCTTCTGCGTGTGAATCTCATGCCTGCCTACCTAAGGAACAAACCAAGTGAAGAAGAAGATCAAGAGAGGGAGCATGCAAGAACTATGTGTGTGTGTGCCTGAGCGGGGATGGTCGATCCTCATGAGTGTGTTGGAGTCAAACCGAGCAAGGAACAATAAGTTGAAGAGTTGTTGTACATGCCGTCAAATCCTCGACTCAAAGAGCCCCTATTTGCCCCAAATCCTGACTGCTTTTGCATATTCCTGATCCACTACCCTCAGATCTGAGAGATGTACAAGAAAGTCAAAGCCTCCTTCTAGACAGCAAAAGAAGTTAACATCTCCCAAAATCTCTGCCATTGGGATCAATTCCTTAAATCAGACGAACGTCACTTCGTAAGCCATGTTATTGCCTTCTTCACTACCACTGATGAAATCATCATTAAGAACCTTGTCGGCCAGATTTGGACTGAAGCTGGTTCATTGTATTCAAAGCTCGCCGATGGAACGATCTTGATATGTGGAGTTGCCTAAATGATGCATGTGGTGGGGAATAATATGGATTTCTTGGTGGGTAAGGCAGTTCATTGTTACGGTCCACTACATGCTTAAGGTGATCGGAGAGTTGGTAAGCATGCATATGGTGAAGTGTGCTACTTAACCTAAGTAGGTAGTCGATTGCAAATATTGAGGATGAGGCTACATAGAGATTTCAAGCACTTTATCATACCCTGAATGAGCTGGCACTCATTGGTTATACATGTTCCCACCATAAGCCTTCATTGGAAAAATTATGAGAAATATAGGTTCCCACCACCATTCTTCATTGTTGGAATTTTGAGGAATATATGTTCCCACCACCAACCTTCATTGCTAGAATTTTAAAGAATATTGATTCTCATCACACCGGCCTTCATTATCAGAATTATGAGGAACATTGGTCCTTCTACCAACCTTCATTATCGAAATTCTAAGGAATATTGATCATTATGCTTCCTTCGTGTATCCAAGACCAAGGAAAGATTGAGCGAGAGGGCTCTTCTCATGTACAACATCCATAGTCGACTGAGGAGAAGCAAGAGAAGTTGAGCATAGGACCTCCTCCATGTGTATGGAAAGAGCTGAGAGTTCCCTCTCGTGAGGGTCTAGGGCTGGGACAAGCAAGAGTACAAGACCTGCAATCCTTCCTGCGATTAGACCAGAGGAATTAGAGGCCTTACATGTGCCTATACAGGCTTGATCAAACAGGAGTGTTCGAGTGGATTTGGACGATTGATTTGCATTGGGCTGAAGGCTGCCTCAATCGGATAGGAGGAGATTTGTGTGCCAAGTGTTGAGCCGCTTGGGATGTATTTTTTTGATACTGTCCTTGAAGCTTGCCCCTCTTGACCTTTTAGCTCCACTAAATAATATTCATATTCCTAATCATATTTCTGAGGTCTTGTCTAATAAAAATTTAAAAAGTGTCATGAAAGATGAAATGCATGCCCTAGAGAAGAAAAATACATGGAAGATCACTAATATACCAATAAGAAAAAAAAAAACAAGTTGGCTACAAAATGGGTGCTCTTCGTGAAATACAAAGCTGATGGTATATTGGAAATGTATAAGAAAATATTTGTGACAATAGGATACACTCAGACGTACGACATTGACCACCAGGAAACTTTTACACTAGTGGCCAAGATGAACACTATGAGAATCCAGCTCTCACTAACAATTAGATGTCAAAAATGCATTCCTACACAGGGACTTGGAGAAAGAAATATTTATGGAGATTTCACTAGGATTCAAGGATAAATATGGGGATAACAAAGTGTGAAAGTTAAAAAAAAAAGGGCTTTATATGGACTAAAAATGTCACCTAGAGCTTAGTTTGGAAAATTCTAAAAGTTATGTTACTTAATGGTTATCGACGGTGCTAAGTGGACCATACATTATTATTTAAGCACTCAAACTCAGAGGAAGTCACGATTCTATTAGTTTATGTAGATGATATCATCTTAACTAGGAATGACGAAAAAGATAAAGTAATTTTGAAGAAATGACTTGCCAAGGAATTTGATATCAAAGATCTTAGTTGATTAGATTATTTTCTTAGAATTAAATCGGCCCACTCCAGTAAATGAATCTTCATTTCACAACAAAAATACATTACTGATATTCTTTAAAAAAAAAACAAGTTAGCTTGTAAACCAGCACCAACACTAGTATAACCAAATCTAAAATTGGTGGAAGCTAAAGAAGATACAAATATTGATAAAGGATCCTAATATAGACTTGTGGAAAAATTAATCTATCTTTCCCACACCATACTAGATATAACATTTGTTGTAAGCATGATCATCATGTTCATGCAAAATCCAAAGCAGACTCACATGCAAGTTGTAGACAGAATACTACACTACCTTAAGGGGAACCTAGGTAAAAGGATTCTCTTCAGAAGAAGCTGTGGAATAATCTCAGAAGTATATATTGATGCAAATTATACAGGATCACCATTAGATAGATGATCTACCTCAAGATACTACACATTCATTGGAGGAAACCTTATTATATGGAGGAGCAAGAAATAAAATGTGGTGGCAAGGTCTAGTGCAAAAGCAGAATTTAGAGCTATGGCCTTGGGAATATTGAGCTATTATGGAACAAGATGATTCTAAAAGACCTAAGGATTAAGTGGGAAGGACCCATTAAGCTAAACTATGACAACAAATCAACAATCAACATAGCTTATAATCTGATTCAGCATGATAGGACCAATCACATAAAAGTTGACATATATTTCATAAAGGATAAATTAGACAGTTATCTTATATGTATCGATCATGTCTGATCAAAAAATTAACTTGCAGATATTCTTACCAAAGGACTCGATAACTCTATTTCACTAGGACTGATTACCAAGCCGGGAATGATAGGTATGTATTCCCCAGCTTGAGGTGAAGTATTAAATCCTAGTCATCCCTTGGCATTTTGATCCCATTTCTATGATGAGAATCTGTGGGAGGCTCACATGTTAAATCCCTTGGCATTTTAATCCCACTGATATGATGGGAATATGTGGGAGGCTCACCTAAATCACGTCGATCTCCTTCCATATTTAGTTGATTGATTTAAGAAGGATTATATTAGAGTAATTATACATGATTTTATAATTATTTGTTTATTTATTAAGATATATTGTATATATTCATAAATAGGGATAATTTTATGCAAAAAAAAAAGTATTTTTACTCTCCAATTCTCTAAATTTAACAAAAAAATTTTAATAAACTTGTCATCATCAGTGAATCAAGCACGTTGCTTCGGCTTCCCTTAAATTATGCTAGAATCACCTCAGAGATCTTAATTGCTTGTTGCTACAAAGTTAAATCATTTCATTACAAACATTCCACATCCTTGAAAGTGACTTCAATATCTATTCCTACTCTAAAGAAGAAAGCAGTGCAAAAAAATTAAGGCTTTGTTGAGGACAGATTTTTTTTTTTTTACTTTCTTAAGCAACTTTTTAGTTAAAAAATTTGCTTTAAAAATAATAAAAAAGCCGTCTCAAACGAAGCAGCTTTTTAGTTAAAAAAATTGCTTTAAAAATAATAAAAAAGCTGTCTCAAACGAAGCATAAATCTTAATAAATTCTGCCAAACTTAGCAGATAGATGTCTTACTCTGCATCGAATAATAGTTTCCAAACAAAAACAAAAATTCTGCCCTTTTACAGTTCAAATGGTTATTTCTCGCTTATTATAGATATATGTTGATCGAAAATCTTGATAACATTATGATTGAGAGAAAGTGATAGAATTAAGCCTCATGTATGTCAATAAGCATCAATAAATGCATATAACATACACAAATGTTTAAGGAGGAATGTGAGACTTATGAGATTGAGACAACTTTCTTATTGCTTTTTGAAGCAAATTTTTAGCATAAAAATCAATTTTTATTCAAAAAAGCTGTGTAAAAGACTATAAAAAAACTATCACAAACGAAGCCCCACTCAAACATCATTACTTTACAAAAATCAATCAATCAATTTGATTCTAAATTACATTGAGCTAGAATTGAGATTGCATCAACTTCTCGACCATCAATCCTAGCCCATATACAAATCAAACCAAATAAATTTCATTTTTTATCCAGGATTGGATTGACTCAAAACTAACTTAATAGCATACCCAAATTAATCTGGAAAGTTACCCAACATTCATGATCATTTCATAACAAAATTAAAACTTTTATTATATATATATTTTAAATTGTTCAAGCTTCGTTTTATAAAGAGATGAGTACATCTTATATGCACAAAAATTCATTCTATTTGAAAAAAAATAGCATTACTGAAGAGAAATACACAAAAGAAACATGTTTTCTATAAACTCAGAGGGATTTCTAGTAAACAATACAAATGCAGAGATTAATGCATAAGATAAAGCTGGGAACTTGTAAGTGAGGTCTATTTTTGAGAAGGAAACAAGCCTCCTGTAAGTGAAATCACAGGACAATGCAAGTTGTTTCTGCTGATCAACAAATGGTCAAAGAAGATTACAATTACAGATATATCATCATGAAAATGCCTTCTGATACCTCTATCAATCTTCTTCAAGTCAGAATACCTCATTTCTCTTTTCTTAGCAGCCACTTTTAATGCTTGCTTTAAAAGCCTCCTTGCAATTCCCTGCACCCAAAGGTTAAGATGAGAAAAGAACTCAATAATTTTATGGACAGATCATAATAAGTTACGTACCTAAGGTTTTAAATTAGCTGAGAAGAGCAGAGTACTATTATGTTCAAATTTGATCATTTATTCTCTTAACGAATTCGAGCTTTGATATATTTTCCTCAAATTTTAGTGGAATCATCTTCAACTGGGCTAGGCCCCGTGGTTTTTTCCCTTTCCGGGTTTTCCACGTAAAAAATATTGTGTTCTTTGTGTGTGAGCTGGATATCCGTGCAACGCTAAGACGTAGAATTATAACTCTATCGTCGCGTATATTATAGCCCGCAACAAGCTTAAATAATTTTATATTTGTGCTTGATGCTTCAAACATGTAGCATCATTACTAAACATAGTTGCATGTATAAATTTTAATCAAAATTGATTGCATTCATCATGTAATGTTTATGTTATTTGTTTGATATTTATCAATAAAAAAATACGCAACATCCACGATGAGTTTTCTAACTATTATATTTACTTTGAGATAAACAAAGTGCATGACTAATCAATCAATCTTTATATTACATTTATCTCAAAACTAGTACAAAGACTTAAGCGATGATCAATAGCTGGTCTTTTCGGATGATCAACCACACTGGGACTGAGACACGGCCCAGACTCATATGGGAGGAAGCAGTGGGGAATTTTCCGCGATGGGCAAAAGCCTGACGGAGCAATGCTGTGTGGAGGTAGACGGCCCACGGGAATGAAAGTGAATTCTCCCCCGGGTTTGCATATTCTTTTCACACATACCGGCATACGGAAGTCCAAGACCTATGAAAAGAGACGTGTAACTGTGCCCCAACGAATTCTGGGAAGTATCAACTTAGAGAAAATCTATCCTAACCCTATTTTGATGGTTTCAAAATTGATAAGCTATCCACATTGTAAGAGAAGGATGAGACATCATTAAAATTTTATCTTTTGAACAATGATTTGCTTCTTACAAACAATAGTAACTCTTACATTCTATGCTAATGAGAAAAAAATTCAAACAATGGTGATAGAAAAGGTAACTCACAGCACGAGGATGGAAATGAACCATGTCCACAGCTTCTTGATTGCTTAAATGCTCCCATAAGCCATCAGATGCAAATATTATGAATTGATCTCCATGAGACAATTTATGGGCGACTATAGATGGATCGGCGCTAAGAATAGATTGATAGAGCGGCTGAGGAAGCCGAAATTTTGCAAGCAGAGGCTCTTGATTGAACTGTGAATCTTTCAAATATGCATCACCAATAGATCTGGATATCTGTATAGAAAACAAAGAGAGCGTTGAGAACAACAAGTATAGTTGTAGTAGCTTACCCTACAACATGTTAACTAGTGGAGCCAGTTTTTACCTTCTAATAAAAAACAGCAAACATAATCATAAGTAGACCAAATTTTTTTCTTTCCAATGAGGGGGGTGCCATCTCACATTTGTATTAAAGGAGTTAGATTTGTAATTCTTCATAAGCAAATCATAATGAAATTCGTAGCAGGTTTTACAAGATGTAGTCACCAATTGATATTCTGTTAATGTTTTTGATGGACCTGATTTGTAATTTTCGGAATCCAAGCAAAACAGCCCAAAAACGATGGAAAAATGCGAAATTTCTTGGATGAAAACACTCACAAACACTTCAATAACTTGAATATTAAAAGACTTACAAGTTTCCACGGATACAATGCTCTCAATTCGAGAAGAGAAGCTTTCTCCCAAGCCCTAGAGAAAAAGAAAACTAAAACAGCCACCAAAATGAGATCCCTCCAAAAAGCCACCCTAACTCACTTTTAACTTTCACATGAACCCCTCAAAATCCCCTCATTACCCCTAGGGCAAACACCACAACCTTTCTCTTCAATTTGGTGGGCCCAAGGGGCCCACCCGAGAGCTTTTCCCCCCTTGGCTTGTCCGCCCAGGCAGGCGGGTTCTCCGCCTGCAGTAAGTGAGAACCGGCCCTTTAAGGGCCGGTGTTGCTATGGACCGAACCGGTCCATCAGTTTTCTATTCTTTTCGCTCTATGGACATAAACTACAATCATTACTTGTGAGTTATTAGCAACTAAACTTCATATTCTACACAAATCATGGCTTTTTTTATTCTATTTTGCATAAAAGAAGGCCAACCTAACAAGTTTGAGAAAACTTTTCAAATAATGCATATCTTGCTTGATTTATAGGGAAAAAAACCTGTATGAGGCCTTTTACACGCCAGACATTGTGTTTCAGAACTACAATATCAGAATCATGAGGATGCAATGACCACAGCTCCTTCCTCACAGCCTCATTGCTCGCATTATGATCTGTTGTCATCTGAACGGCGACAATCCCTTTCTTAGTACCGTCTAATCTTCCCAACACGGATCTAGAATCGCCGAGATTCGCAACATATAACATTCCAGCACATATTACACCAATCAAACAGCACGAACCAACTGATGCAAGCTGTGGTGTTCTCTTCCACTTCTTTCTTACAAGGGATAGAAACCCCTCTTCTGTGTTAGAAAATGCCTTTCTAATAGCATCTATTGATATCCCTTTCTGTTCAGAGACAACCTCTGCAAACAAGGCACTCCATTAGAACAAAAACTGTCAATTGTTAGGCCACTTGAGATTAAGTTTAGGTAGAAATACTAAATTTTTTTATAGGAAATGAATAGCCCAACTGTGATCCCCCATTGCTTTACTCCCCAAAATCAATATGAATATCACTCAAATCTATTAAACCCATAGCGCATATTACTCAAAATGTGGCCTTTAGCGCAAATATTCCAGAACAAATTTCCAATCTACATTCATTTAAAAAAAGGGGATGAAACCCCAATAGACTTACTTTTTAGGTTGCTGAACAAATTCTCGGTAATGAACCGCGCGGTCTCCGGCCCGCCATGGCCATCATATATTCCGACGAATGTTCCATTAATTGCGTCGCCAGCGTCGGAACAGCTAAGCGGACCGGACTCAATCTGGCTTCCGTCTTCGAGCTGGTTGTTCGCTTGCACGACGGCCATGGAGAACTCCCCGGCAACGTGCTTCCCAAAGTCTTTGTACCGTAAGAGACCATCGCTGCGGCTAAGCGAAAAGCCGTCGTCGGCTGTGTTGCCGGCGGAAGCCTTCCAACACGGACTGACGATCTTCATCGGCGAAAAGAATCTTACTGTACCATCATCGCTGCTGTCGCACCTTGAAGTCGCCGTCTTGATGGAATTTGAGTGACGGGTCATTGCAAATGGATCTTTTAATGGTGTTTATAAGTAGAGCGAGGAGAACGGAGGAAAATAATTTAAAATAAACTAAAAAAAAAGAAGGAGTTTTGAGGAAGTTTCGGTCTGCTCCGCTTCTAATGAATTTCTTTGAATGATTTGAATGCTGTAAAGTATAAAAAACAGGGAATTTTTTTGCCTTTTTCCTGATCGCTAGGCTTTTCGGCGGGGGAAGTTTGACCGGAGAAACAGATTGAGTGCCCACGGTTTTTGGCAACTTTTGCTCCGGGTCCACCGAAATTCTCCTACCTGTGGCTTCCAGTAGCATTGTAGCAAGTGCTCCCTCTTCCTCTTCCTTCTGGGTTGGTCCTGGATGAGTGGATGACCAATGCGACGAGTAAATTTTTGCTCATATACTATAATATAACTAATTCTGTGCTGGAGAGTGGAGCAGACTATTGCTCCAACGCGCACCAAAAGGCAAAAGCTCAAAAAGAAAAAAAAAAATAAAAATTGTCGTTTTATAAAATTATTTTAAGATAATATTAATAAGAATTATTGTGTTGGTAGACCATAGTCACCATACACACGAGATATAAATATTTTTATATTAAAATTATGAAATAATTGAAATAATTTTTTTTGTTTAAGCCAAGAATTATAAAAGTATATTTTTCCTATAATTAAAGATATGTAATGAAGGTACATGAAATTTGGGCTGCGATCAATAACATATATTGAAGATTTTGTAATGATGGGTTATGATAGGTGATGGAGTCTAAAGATATTGTGCATCAAACATGACTTGAGTGTCGAACAACACAATAATGTTTGATGATAGGGTGAGGAATATTTATTAAGGATATAAATATAATCTGTATCTTTGTATTTCTTTGATGTCCGCCTATCACATTATGACACATAGGACTAGGCCTTGTAACTTGTCTATTTATAGGACTTAGTGCTTGTACTTTGGGATGATAATAGTAATTACTTTTCCTTCTTTATCTCGGGTCAAGAACCCATTGCTTTACTTCTTGTATTTTCCTCTGTTCTCATTTTCTACATGGTATCAGACACCGCATGATCCTGCGGTCCATGGCTTCTACTGCTACGCCTTCCCAAACAATCTCATCGGAGAATCCGCAAACGGACATTCCCGGTGTCTCCGCCTCGCTCAAGTTCGTCGTTTCTAACCTACGAACGCTGGTTCCCACGCAACTCACCACCGATAATTACGCGATATGGAAGAGCCAGATCGTGAAGCTACTCCGCTCAAATGGTTTTGATGATTTTCTGGCGTCGTCTTCTCCCTCCCAAGCAACTTCTGTTGACACCAGCCAGCCGGAGAAATGCAACACGGCAAACTGGTCTCGCATAGACCAAAATCTTTCAGCCGCGATATGTTCTACAATCTCATCTACTGTTCTTCCCTATGTTCTGCAGCTGGATTCAACAGCTGCAATATGGAAAGCTCTTGAAACAAGATTCCAATCGTCAAACAGATCTAAGGTGTTACAACTCAAGAACGAGCTTAATAACATCTCGATGAAAGATCAAACAATGATCCAATATCTGATGACGATCAAGACTCTAGTGGACCAAATTGCGGCAGCTGGTTCAACAATCGATCCAGAAGCACCAATACTTGGTTGTCGTTGGACGTTTCGAACAAAACAGAATCCTGACGGATCAGTTGCACGATTCAAAGCACGTTTAGTAGCACAAGGAAATCATCAAGAACATGGCATCGACTATCAGGAAACGTTCAGTCCTGTTGCTAAGCTACATACCGTTCGGGTTCTAATTACAGTAGCTCTCTATCACAATTGGGGTATTCAACAATTCGATATAGAAAATGCTTTCTTACACGGACCTCTATCAGAAACGGTATACATGCGTCAACCTAAAGGTTTCGAAGATGATATACATCCGGATCACGTTTGTCGTCTTCACAAGGCTTTATATGGTTTGAAACAAGCACCACGCCAGTGGTACAATACGTTCACAAATTATCTTACCTCACTCGGGTTTCAACACAGCCGAGCCGACCCATCTCTTCTAACTTATAACGTTAACTCTGTTCAAATTTATTTACTTTTATATGTTGATGATTTCTTGATTACAGGAAACAATACCGATGCCATATCCAAGCTCATTTCACAACTAAACGCTCGATTTCAACTGAAGCAGCTAGGACTTGCCAATCAGTTTCTCGGCATAAGCATACATCACAAACCAAATGAATATTTTCTATCCCAAAAAGCTTACGCCATCAATATCCTGAAGCAAGCGGGACTACTCGAATGCAATCCATTACAGAATCCGACGTCCACCAAACTTCCGAACACTATCAAACCAGACTCACATCTCGTCGATCCAGCAATCTACAGACGCATTACGGGCTCTTTGCAATACCTTACACTAACACGACCCGATATAGCTTTTTCTGTTAATATTATTTCACAACACATGCATAACCCTTTACCGGATCATACTTATCTTTTAAAACGTCTTCTCAGGTATATTAAAGGTACACTGGATTACGGTCTCCCAATAACCAAATCAGATCTCAAACTTCGCACCTTCTCCGATGCTGACTGGGCTGGTGACCCTTCTTCAAGAAAATCAACCAGTGGCTATTGCACATTCCTTGGTCAAACTCTTATCTCCTGGGCTGTGAAGAAACAAACAACAGTTGCAAGATCTTCCACAGAGTCGGAATATCGAGCGCTTGCAGCAGCTACCGCAGACATCATTTGGTTAAAAAGATTGCTGTCCGATTTCAATCTAACGACGCACACTTCAATTTCGGATCTATTCTGTGATAATTCCTCAGCAATAGCTTTAGCTAATAATCCAGTATTCCACGCCAGAACAAAACATATTGAAATCGATCACAGATTCATACGTGATCAGATTCAAAATCAAAGCATTCGTCTTCTTCCTATAAGTTCTGTCGATCAAGTAGCTGATATTTTCACAAAGAATTTGACTACACCAAGATTTCAATTTTTACGGAGCAAACTGTCCATCTGCAAAGATAGTTCAGTTTGAGGGGGCATATTAAGGATATAAATATAATCTGTATCTTTGTATTTCTTTGATGTCCGCCTATCACATTATGACACATAGGACTAGGCCTTGTAACTTGTCTATTTATAGGACTTAGTGCTTGTACTTTGGGATGATAATAGTAATTACTTTTCCTTCTTTATCTCGGGTCAAGAACCCATTGCTTTACTTCTTGTATTTTCCTCTGTTCTCATTTTCTACAATATTGCATTCACTTTTTAAGAAATCCACTAAATTAACATCATCATTAGATTGTTCAAATCAATCCCTCAAGTTGACAACGGATATTAATATGATTTTATGAATCTAGTTTGAATCTAAAGTCGATCATATCCAAATCTTCCGGACTCCAATCAAACCTTTTTATTATGTGGGTCGAGATGTTTAACCCAATTTGACTCAGCACAAACCCGTCTAACCCAAATTCAACTTGTTTAACAAATTTATTGTATGGATCATGCATTTTCATAGATCAACACAATTCGTGTAACCTATTAATATACATCTATTTTAATAATGTGTTTTTATATATATTTTCAATTCATGAATCTAAATAGTAATTGACCAAGCAATTTTGAGTTATTGGGGTCAACCCGGACCCAATCCAAATAATAACTACATATTCCCTTAAGACAAAAAATCACCCTAAATAATAATAAGGTTTGATAACATTTATAGACACCCTTAATGATGACATTGATAGCTCATCTACCCAAAAAGGTAAGAGAAAGAGTGAGTTCGTCAAAGGTTTGCAAAGAGCGTGACTGATTAAAAATTGTATTCTTTAAGGCTACTTTATGAAGAGGATGAGAGAGAGAAGAGAGAAAAAGAGAAAGAAGTTGCATGAATTATAATACCCACATTTTTATCCAAAAAGTAAGTATACAGTGTTACATTATAAGTGCTTTGTCTTTCATCTTTCAATGTTTATTAATTAATTTTTCTTTTCATTAATTGTAAGTTTAATTTGGAAACAATATTATTTCAGGAATCAACTATATGAATGTTTTGAGAATTGAGATTAGTGTTTAGGGTTACTAATGTTAGAACAAATTAAATATTTGTTCTTTATTTAGCTTACTGAGCTGATTGAATGTACTTCGATTATCAGAGTGTCATTATTTCAATAACTTAGAGTCGTATAAATATTTGAAAAGATTGAAAAGTTTATAATCATATATTTTATATTTTTATAATGACAAATTTAAAAAATAATTTAAAATCATCAATGCAAAATCTAAGCCCGAATAAAAAAGGTTGAGTTTTTTTAAAAATAAAATTAATAATATGTGCCCTTACATGAAAAAAATTCTGGCTCCACCGTTGATCCTGGGATTTCTATGAACTTTAGATTAACTCAAATCAACTAGGCATATATGGAGCTATTTTGTTGTAGATCAATGTTGCAAGGAAAACTTCTAATAATTTTATAACGCTCTTAAAAAACCTCATGATTTAAAGATTTTTCCAAGTTCTAAAAATCACCGTTTTAAAGATTTTTTCGAGTTCTAAAATTCATCCAAATCCTTAAAAAAAAATCCTATAAGAAGTCTTTAATGACTTAATCACAAGATATACACCATAACATTCATGTGCATTTCAACCTTCTCTTGCAAGACTCATGCAAAAACCTTCACTCACATCTCAACCATCACCCACAAGACCCATGCCCCAATCTTCACTTGCTTCACAACTATTGTTTGTAAGACATGCCAATTGTAATATCTATTGCAATAGTACCTTGTCTACTCATTAACTTTTTCCCCATATTAGCTCATATTAGGGATGTAAGTGAGCCGAGCCGGCTCGAACTCGACTCGTTAACCTAGCTCATATACATAAATGACTGGAGCACAAACGAAATAATTCCAAAATAAAAACATACCTATAACATGAACTTTTAACCTTATTAGCTTTTTCTCTAATCAGTCATTTTATATTTTTCTGAAATAACTTGTAAATATATAGGGTGAGCGATCCACTTGCTCAGTAGGCTACCTCATACCTGCTAAAAATTCAAAATTTATAATTAAAATAAATTATATAAGAAATAAATAGGAAGTTTTATATTTCATTAAAGCAATATGGTAACTATGTAATATTCTATTCATAATATGATTATAACAATACACTTAATTATTAATAATAGTTACGAGTGTCAATAGTATATATTTATCAAAGCAACAACATAATCAAAATTTGAGCATTTACATGGCAATAACATGAACTTTTTTTAATGGCAATAACATGGATTTGATTTAAATTTGAACATAACTTTAGGGTGAAATGCTACGAGTGTCAATAGTATATATTTATCAAAGCAACAACATAATCAAAATTTGAACTTTCACATGGCAATAACATGAACTTTTTTTAATGGCAATAACATGGATTTGATTTAAATTTGAACATAACTTTAGGATGAATGCAAAACATGAATGCAAATTATGTAAAACATAATTCACATGCGCATATTTTGATGCCTTCTTATATCTTCACTTCAAATATACCTCAACTTGATCATCTTACGTCTATTCAGGACAAATGGAGTCACATCTAGTTTGATCCCCCTTCTCTCTCTCTCTCTCTCTCTCTCTCTCTCTCTCTCCTAGTAAGCTTGATATGTCAGAAGTTGATAAAAGAAAATAAATTAGAGTCACTGATATTGCTTAATCATCTTGATTAAAATTACAATTACATTTATGCATAGAAAATTCATTAGTTTTATCTATCTTGGCTTTTCTTCAACACATAAGGATATTTTTCAGCAAATCTTTTGTTCCTTAACCACAAACAAGAAATAACTTCATTCAATACAAAATAATAATAACAATTTAAAAAAAAAGCCTAAAAATTACTGTATGAATTTAATGCATGACTACAAAAGATTCAGAAATCTTTTCTCTGTCTTAAAAGCAGAACCATGTGAGAACATTTCTGCATATCCCAATAAAGCTATCAAAGCTTCTTTCCGGAAGGAAGTAATGCAGTGGCCATTTACTTGGTCTTGCAGCAAACTGATCTGATATTAAAAAATGAGCTGTTAAAATTCTATTGAGCATTAAAAACAGTTCAGTATTTGACAGAGAACAATAATATCACAATCCAAAACCAATTTTTGTCAGTTTCATCATCCTATTTGAATTGCTCAAAGCATTTCTAGCTTACTGTTACGCCGGTCCAGCTTGGACCGGCTCATCCTGGACCGGCCCAGCCGGTCCAGTTTTACCGAAGACGGACACCACGCCAGGCGGAAGAGAGAGGGAGCCAGGGAGTGGGGTCCACGTGCAATTCAAACTTGGATTAAGTATTTTTGGAGGGAGAAGGAAGGGTAGAGTAGTCCTTTTGCGTTTAATTTGAATTAGATTGTATTAAGAGGGAGTTATGAGGGAATTAGGTTTTCATCTTGATTTTGAAAAAGGATTCGTCTTCTAGGTTTTCGTGTTTGGGCTCTTGGCGTTGCCGGAGATTGTTGGAGAGTAATTCCTTCCTCTCGAATTGAAGGAAAAGTGTATCTTTCTTTGTTGTATTGCATCTACTATTGGAATACAAGTTCTTGCTTCGTTTTCTCTCAGATCTTTAGTGAAATTTCCCTATTTTCTTCTCTTTGGTGGCTGTTTTTCTGCTGTGGACAGCAAGAAAATTGCTGTTGATTACTGATTTGCGCTAGGATTACTTATAAATACAAGTATTTCCTATCACTTACCTCTCTCTTTCCATTGAACATAATTCAAATTGAAAAGTTGATATTAAATTTATTTAAAACTAAAAACATGAAAACAAGATATCCCATACATGGTGAACCTTCCAAGTTATAATTAACTTGTCAATTTATAATTCAAACTTAGTGGTAAACACCTTTCTCTTTTACTCAATCAATGCACTATTCACACATGTTCCTTATGTTCTACTAACAATCAAATTACTCTCTTTCACACCCTTTGCCGCCTCCGATTTCCCAGTGTAATCTCTTCTTTCCATGAAGCGAAACGCCGAACAGCTTAACTGTGCTATTTGGCACCTCTGATTGCTTTGATGAGCCATCTAATATCGCATTGCTTTTAGAACATTGATGATCTGAAGGATCAATCTCTACAAGCCTACAAGGCTTTGTGCTCATCAAACTTTGCTCTGCGGGCATTGGGCTGACATGGCTTTGTATGAAGTAGATAATGTCATTGTAGAGTTTCTTCACATTAGCGAGTTCTGATAATAGGTAGGAGTTCTTCCTTCTCAGCCTCTCATTGTCCTCAGAAAGTGCAGAAATGAATGTATTTTCATCTCTATTTGGTAGAGACAATATTGGAGGTTCAATCCAACTGCTTATTTCATCATGGTAATGAAATGGTGTTGGTGAGTTGTATTGTGAAGAGGCTTGAGAAGTCTTCCTTCTGTGAATCTCAGAGAGTAAATTTTTTCCTCCTTTTATAAAGAAGTCATTAGCAAACTCCCATCTGTCGATAACTATTTTCCTGAAACCCTGCAGAGATTTTGGTGAGGGATTTGAAGAAAGAATAGAGCTTCTATAGTTGAAATGCTTGTTTTGATAGTAGGTGTTTTTCATCTAAGATAACAGTTGAATAAGCTTTGTGTTTGATAGCAGAAGGTAAGGAGACTTAGTTCTGAAGTATTAGAATGTGGTTGCAATGAAAAACTTACATAGGTGTTGAGTTGCCTCACAAAGCTTGAGAAGTTGTTGTGTTTGAAGTAATTGGGAAGGATATCTCTAGCAAACTCTGGAGGTCTCCACACCACAAAGCTGGTAGCTTCTTCTCCCCAAGACACTATGTGATCAGTGGATGGATCATCAACAAGTTGGTAAGTTTTGATGAGAAATGGGGTGGGAACTGATTTTTGAGACTCTATAGAGACCACCATCTCCCTAGATTTTTCCACAAAGAAAGCCATAGGTTCAATGCGAGAAGAGGCAAAGGTGCCAACTTCTACTCAGCACCATATACTTGAGAAATCTTATGACTTTCAAGCTATGAACGTGTATAGTGACACATTGGGATTAGCAATTTTACTGAAGGGTAACTATATAGTTCTGGGAGAGTGGAGGGCATGAAGAAAAGCAATGACAGCTTCCAGTGTAATCTCTTGCCGTGTGGTCAGACTAGTAATGATTTATAAGATAATGCAGTGCTATATTTAATCTCTTTCTTTACTCGTCATATAAAAAATAAGTGCAAGTTTTCTCCCCAACATTCAAGAGTTTTTTTTTTTTGGGGGCCAAATCTATGAAATTCCCCCATCCACACTTTAAAATTTATTCAAATTATGATCCACTGCACTGTCTAAGAAATTATGATCCATTCTAGTATTTTTGTATTTCATTTACTTCAAACTAAGGTTTCGTTTGGGACAGCTTTCTTTCTAATTCTTAAGGTAGCTTTATAGTTAAAAAAATTTAGTTAAAAATTTTAAATTTTTTATTAAAAAGCTGCTTTAAGAAGCAGAAAGAAAGCCAAACTTAAATATGAAAGAATAAATTAGAATAAAGAAAAATAAATATTTCCGACCAAGCAACCCCTCATCCTAAGATTACCACAAACTTCTCTGGCTTTTAGCAGCTCCACTTTCTCCTTTATATATGTATATTTTTCTATTTGTAGTTTCAAAGCAGATCCGTGATTTCCATGGCATGAGAAAGATGATGAAAATAACTGAAGCTATATTCAATCCCTCATTTCTCCTAGGTTAGCAAACACATTTGATGCAAAAATCATTTTCAATTGCTCAAATCTGTCATTACATTGTCTGGTGGGGCTCAAATCCTGCTACTTTGATGAATAAATAAAGTTTTCATCATAAAAATAAACATTCCAGACTTTTCACTCACATGGAAAGAACCAATCCTTCTTGAGATGAATTTGTACCTTTTTCTCTGGAGCTGGTTCATTAACTTTCTCATAAGAGAAGATGCTTGCTTGATAATTGCAGATCAATATCATATAAGAAGCCTTAATCTCCAAAATTCCAGTTTTGATTCTTCAAAGCAAGCTTTGGTGATCTGATGAGCTTCAGTACTGCATTTAAGTGATGAATTTCGCTATGAAATGTTCTCTCTAAGATGTTATAATATAATTGTATGATATTTATAATATCTTCATTTCAGATATTCTATCAATATATATTAATGTCATAGCAATATATACTAATATCATTTTGTATGCTATATTACTTCATTTCTATTTAAAATATCACGTGAGCAAAAATATTGAACTGTGTTAACTAGTCATGATTTTTCATGGATACCTTAGGCTTCGTTTGGGATGACTTTCTTACTGCTTTTAAAGTAGTTTTCTAGTATAAAATTTTTAACTTTTTACAAAAAACTGCTTTAAGAAATAGTGAGAAAGCTGTCCCGAACGAAGCCTTCGATTAATTTACTTATTGTTTGTGGCATAAACTTCAAAATTGTTTGTGGCATAAACTTCAAAATAGTATCGCGACTATTCATATATGCCAATTTAGTCCCAAATCATCACTTTATTTCAACTTGGTCCCTTAACTATACAAAATTGATTCAAAATGATTTCTTAGAGACTAAATTAGGATCAGTTTTGTATAATCAAATGATTAAATTGTGATCAATTTTATATCATAGTTACAACATGAGAGATCATTTTGGGTTAATTTGAGGGCTATTTCGGTTTACTTATTGCATGTTCATAGGGCCTTAGAAATTGGAAATTTATTTGCCAGAATAGGTACAGTTACTTGTTTGTATTCTTTCAGAGAATTTACATTTTTTTTGGAAGATTCTATGCCACTTATGACAACTTGCTTTGATGATCTCCACCCATCTACAGTGAACTTATTTATGTATATGTCATATGAATCCTTTGCACATGTGATCCACTGCTTGTGAAGGCAGATCTGTCTTTGACTGGAAAATACTAAACCAGAGAGAGAGAGAGAGAGAGAGAGCTGCAATTATCTGTAAAAAAACTAAAAATAAGCTGGTAGAAAAGAGAGGAAGAAGATAAGATTCTCCAAATATGAGATCTTTCTCCATAAAGAAAGCTTTATAGAAAATATTACCTTTCTTTTCTTCCAAGAAAAGACATTTACTGTGGGTCACTGACCAGTGTGCATTAACTGATTAAAGCCTGTGCACATAAGTGATCATTTTTAATGAGCCATTTCTAATCATTTCATAATCTAGAATATATAAAGATACTATTTTCCCATAAAACTTTGCATCATTATTATTTTTTTTTGCTTTTGATATAATTTTAAGTCATTCTGATATAATTTTAATCATAATATTCAGATAACTTTTTTCCTAAAATTACTATCCTAAGCAAACGAACATAACCTATAGCTCTCCAATACATTAATGTGGAGACATGAACTGTCTTCTGAGCGCATATCATGTTCTTTTCTCCACAGCCATGGCCCATAATACGAAACATTGGTGCAATTTTGCAGAAAAGTCTAAATACTTGCAAATTAAGCACATATGAGCACTTCTTCACGCTCATGTACATGAAGGTTCCACAAGACTTGAGCACTTTAGCTCCCCTGTCTGTTCTCAGTTCCTCACATGGGCTCACATGAAGACCACTGTGACCAAGCCTGTGACACTGTCTTCTTCAAAGAGACCAGCATAGATAGCAACAAACACAACTTGTTATATGTTGTCAAGTAATCAGAGACATCCATTCTTGATCGGGCAGCTATTGCTTGTTTGAAAGTGTTGAACATTTCAATTCACATGTGAAACTTCAAAAGCACTGTATAATTGCAATTTGTATGAAATTATTTAGTACTTTGGGTCCAATTTGGGACAAGAGATCTCTTATAGGCATAGGCGGATCCACCTTAAGCCCATTGCCCCCCACCTCCCCCCTGCCCGAAAAAATAAAAAAATTCTTTATTATATGATTATTTATGTAATTTGTTCCTCCTCCATGTATTTTTTTAGTCTTTATTACAAGGGGTTTTTAGGCAATTGACTCCCCTAAAAATTTTAAAATAATATAGTCTTTAGGCAATTGCATCAACATAATTAAACGCATTGTGTAAAGATGTTATTGTTAGAGAATGATGAACAAAATACAAAGCGGACTAGTAAAAAGAATCCAAAAATATCCTTACAACCAAAATTTGTTCCTGGACCCCCGACATATCTGCGAAGCTTACAACGATGAACAAATAGGGGTCGAGAGGCAGCTCCCTCGGAATAAATTTTTGTTGTAAGGATATTTATGAAAAACACTCTACACTTTTACTTATAAGTTTGTCCCCTGAAAATTAAGGTTGGATACGCCCTTGCTTATAGGATATTGAAGATTCTAAGGAATTAAAGGATTGCATATTCAAAGTAAAAGGGAAATGCTAAAGCAGCTTCATCATTAGAAGGTGATATTTTTTCATTTGCAGGGGGTCCTGCATGAGTGAGCTTTGGCTAAAGTGAGGGAAGGTAAGGCTGAAGAAAATTCTGAAGCTCATGCATGTTGCATGCTTTCTTTTCTTCTCCTTTTCGTGATTAAGCCTGAACTTTATACTTAGTTGAGTTGGCAATGGCAACTATCAAAAGTCCAGAAGCATCTTCCCGGAATTCAAGCAAAGCATTTCTCTTGAATTTTTTTTCTTCAGTCATTTCAGTTCTATCATACCATTATTTTGCCACCGCCAAGAACTTCACACTAAGGCAAAAATCCCATCACAATGACATATTTGGGATGGCGCAACTCCCTTTACACTAAGATGCTTGTCACAAGATATATGTTGTATTCCTGTAGAATTTCCTGGATAAGATTATAAAATTTGCTTCTCCCATAGTCCCATATGACTAAATGGATAGTTATATATGCATGATAGGCTCATGATTGTATGGTAGTAAATAGGAAGAAAAGAAAATAAGAAATTTTTTTATTTGATTTGTCAAAGCATTTCCTAAGAAATTTGAATTTTTATATGTTAGGTTAATTAATAAGAAAATAAGAATATCATACAAACAAATAAAAAAAAGTTAAGAAAAGAAAATATTAAAGGATCTGAGTCAAAATCGGGTTGACAGATCAACCTAAATGTAACCCATTTAATAAACGGGACAGAATTCTAACTTGAACTTGACACATTTATTAATTGGATCAACTTGAACCTTTATATTTTTCGGGTATGGTTTGAGTCAAGTCGGCGGGTCAAGTCATTTATTGACACTCCTAAATATCGGTTATAATGTACGACGACTTGAAATTTGTGAAAATAATTTTAATGTTAAAATAATTTTAAAATAAAAATATGATAAATATGAGTTGAAGTGTTGTGGCACTGTGAACATTGAGTCACTGGATGGCAGCGCGGTGGTGCCGAGCTTTCTGCTTTACAATATTTCTGGATTTTGCATGTAGCGTTGTAGTGCTGGATCTTGAGCGTTGTAGTGCTTGTAGTGCTGGGCACTGAAAAATATTTTTTATTATATAAATCTCCACACCTTATCACCACACCCCACCCAAATCCTCATTTGAGCTGCTTACCAGGGAAGGAAGAAGTGGAAAATGGATAGAGAGAGAGAGAGAGAGAGATGATTAGGGCCTTTTTGTCCTTCATTTTTTTTTTTAGATTTTTTTTTATTGTGGTAGACAACTCGAAGCATACATTTGTTTTCAATGATTTTGATAGTTATAATCTTAATTTTCAAAATTTACTAAAAATGCATTTTCTCATGATTTATAAACTTTTACCGTTTACCTTTTTATATATCATAAATATCATTATCCTAAGCATTTTAACAGTAATATTATCGTATTTCACCGAGTAAATTAATAGTTATAATTTTTTAAGTTATTGAATAGTGTATAGATTTTTCTACATTTCATAGAATATTTCATTTCATAAATATATTGAATTGTTGTACATGGTGGTGGGTCGGCAAGCTATCCTTTTAATAAAAG